CCACTGCAGATAATTACCCAAAATCTTCAAAGAATTGATGCAAGTTTGAACTTGTGGTGTCGGGCAAGCGACGCGGGTCTTGTGGAACGACCCATTTGGCGCGGACTTCTGGACTTGTTGCCTCGTTGCTTGCTTGCTTGCTCGTTGTGATTGCTGTTGCAGTGTGTGAAGCTGTGGAGTGGTGCTGTGGAGTGGTGCAGTGTAAGCAAGCGGGTGTGCACTGGGACGCAAAGAACCAGCATCGTGGGACCTACAACAACAAGACATGAGGAAGGCAGCCATCGCAGGTGCGTCTGTGTCCGTGTGTGAGCTGATGTCACGTAGTCAGCTATCGCAAACAATCATGTGTGTGTGTGCGTTGCGTCTCCCTCACTTTGTGTGCTCCTCCTCTTTGGCTGCTCATGGGTGCTGGGGGCAAATGACAGGGTTGGCTGGGATCAGCGCGATTGTGCTGCTGACAGTGATGTCGTTTATGCGACACAGTGCACACATACCTCAACCAGATATGGCGATGGAAAGGCGGTTGCAGGAGGTGGACAAAGCCGGGGGAGACACCTCCAACACAGCTGAGCATGCTCAGGACGGCGTCACTGCATGCGAGACGCCAACGCTTTCTTCCTTCCTGGTGCCCAATGCGCAGGAGTATGCCAACTTCAAAGCGAAACCTGCAGCGCCAAAAAAGCAGCACATCCTCGTCACGGTGTGAAAACGTGTTTGTGGTTGTATGTTGTGTGGTTGTGTGTTGTGTGTGTGAAGGTGTGTGTATGTGTGGTTGTGTGTCGTTGTGGTTGTGGTTGTGGTTGTGTGTGTGTGTGTGCGTGCTGTGTAGGGACACTCAGTGTCAGTGATAATGGCCCAGTGCTGTTCTCGTGTGTATGTCGTTGACACGCGGCAATGTCCGCACCTATGTGTGTGTCACCCAGGGCGGTGCCGGGTACATTGGATCGCATGCCGTGCTGGCGTTGTTGGAGCGTGGGCACAAGGTCACCATCATTGACAACCTGTCAAGAGGAAACAGGGGCGCGCTCACCGTTCTGGAAGGCATCGCACAACCTGGACAGCTCTTCACCTTCATCGTGGACCTTGCCCACGCCACCTTGGTGTGTGTGTGTGTGTGTGTTGGAGAATGTACACAGCT